CTGACATTTTCAAATTCCCGGGGCGTGTTGTTCACCAAATGCACCCCGAAACGCCCCTCGACACGTCCGCCGAACTGTCCCCCGAAGCATCCGCCGAAACGTCCGCTGAATTTGCCCCCGCGAGCTGTTTACCGAATTTCCCCTGCGAATCGCGCCCTTAATCCTGCCCCGACTCGCCCCCCGAATCGTTTCCACGAGCCGTCCTCTGGAGCATCCCAACGAACTTCGGCGTGCCCCCTGAAAGAAAATCCAGATTTGTATGCGCAATCAAATGACATGTGGTTTAGGGGGAACGGTTCGCGGCACAATTTGGGGCGCAATTCGTAGGGCAATTGGGGAGACAATTTGGAGCGGCCATTCGGCTGACATTCTGGGGGGGCGGGGTGACCGGATTCTTGGTTGGAGTTCCGGGCTGCCGAGACGGTTCCAAGAGACTCTCGAGAAGCGCCCCGAGACCCCTAGACGCATCCGAGAGGCCACTGGGCCTCAACCCTTGCGGGGTGGCGGGGTGGGCTGAAGATCGCAATGTAGCGATCCGAACCTGCGCCCCCCCGAAATGCTTTGTTGCACCTACCGCATCGGGAGCCCTAGATGAATCTGGGCGACACATAACCGGTCATCGCGTGTAGGTGCAGGATATGCTCATGCGCTGACGCCGCGCACTGTCGGTTCCAAAGGCGCTTGTCCGTACGACTTGTACCTCGATTGCTTCTCGGAAGCGATTTCGGAAGGCCACTGCTCTGAGGAAAACGGGGAGGAGGAGGAGGAGGAAGAGGAGGAGGAGGAGGTAGGAGGAGGAGGAGGGGGGAGAGGGGGAGGAGGAGGAGGAGGCGCCGGCATTCGGCGGAGGCGCCCGCGGCGGTGCCGTGCGAATGCCGCGGCCGGCCAGCGGCCGTGCGCGGTGGCAGAGGGGCTCCTGCTTAGTCGCCGCGGGGGGGAGCACCCGCAGCGGCACGCCCGTCTCCGCGCGCACGCGGAGGCGCGGCCACGCCTGCCAGAATTGGAGAGGGGGGAGGGCGACGCCTTCTCCTCCTCCTCCTTGTCCCTCCTCCCTCCTCCCTCCTCCCTCCTCCTCCCTCCTCCCTTCTCCCTTCTCCCTTCTCCCTCCTCTCTCCTCTCTCCTCTCTCCTCCTCTCTCCTCCTCCTCCTCCTCCTCCTCCTCCTCCTCCTCCTCTTCTTCTCCTTCCTCCTCCTCCTCCGTCCTCCTCCTCTTCCTCCTCCTCCTCCTCCTCGTCCTCCCTCCCCCTCCTCCTCCTCCTCCTCTTCCTCCTCCTCCTCCTGCACTGCCGAGGCCGGCAGCCGGACAGAGTTTGATGACCCACAGGTGGTGGGAACATGTGGGCTGAATCGTGAAAACTCCAGGGGGCAATGGCTCAAACAATGGGCCACGATGGAGGAGATGATGTTATGCAATACGTTTTTCCCCAAACCGCCGGAGAAGATCATCACGCATACGAGTACGAGGGGAAGATTCAGACATATTGACTATATCATGGCAGACCGTGGAAGCCGGAAGTTGGTGAAGGATTGCGGGTCAGATCGAGCTTTGGATCTTGGATCGGATCACGCTGCTGTCCGTATTGTTCTTTGGGCTAAACAAAAAGAGGAGACGACTACCAAAAGAAAGACGCTACAAGAGAATCGTTCCAGCTCTTCTTGGAAGTATGTCCATTCAGAAGGGTACGCTGAAACATTGGGGCAGCGCGTTGCTGACGAAGAGTGGCCTGCTGACGTGGGAGAGCGTGCGGCACAGCTTGAATCAGTCATGGTGGCGTCCGCGAGGCAGAACTCGAAGATAACCAATACTACACAAAATACGGCTACACAGTTGCAGGGGCACCGTGTACAAGAACTAATCCAAGAACGAAAATCGTTACCACGCGATGCCACGGCAAGGCGGGCAACACTGAGCAAACACATTTCGAAGACAGTCCGCTCAATGAGGAAGACCGTGGCGAACAACCGCATCAACGACATCTTGACGCAGTTCTCTGGCTTGGACAGGATACCGCATATCAGATCAAGATCCAAAAAAAAAAGGTCCCATGCATGCTTGAGGGCGAGAAGGTTGTCACTACCAGATTGGGTATGGCCAATGTTTTTGCGTCCTTTTATGAAGAGTTGTATTCGTCCAAGTCAAAGGTTTTGCCGGCGAGCGTTCTTGCTGAAGAAGCACAGCAACATCGAGCACCTGATTTGTCACCGGACGACGTCAGAGAGGCCATAAAGCAGCTGAAGCGGAAGAGATGTCCTGATCGAAGTGGTGTCCTTGGTGAGATGTTTATTGAAGGTGGTGAGATACTGGTGGAAACGCGAACGAAGCTTTTCAATGATATCTTGCGGCCCGACATAGAGCCGCCAGAGAGCTGGAGACAGGCAGTGATCACCGTAATTTTGAAATCAGGTGATGAACGGCTCGCGAACAACTACAGACCGATTACCATCGTGCCCGTGCTGGACAAGCTGTTTTCCAGATTGTTGTACAATCGTCTTTCGCCAATCCTGGAGGAGCGGCAATGTCCTGACCAAGCAGGGTTCCGGAGGGGATTCTGTACAGAAGACAATTTGTACACGTTGTCTCAAATACACGAGAAGGCGGAAGAATTTCAAATCCCATTGTGGTGCGCGGCGATTGACTGCCAGAAGGCTTTCGACACTGTGGAACATCAGGCTTTATGGAATGCGTTAGCGAAACAGAACGTGCCCGTTGGATACATATCGTTGCTCTCGAAACTTTACACCGGGCAGACGGGTCGTATCAACACAGATGTTCTCAGCAGGCCGTTCGACATTTCCAGGGGCACCAAACAAGGCGACCCTTTGAGTTCGCTCATCTTTTATGCACTGTTGGAAGATATTATCCGGGACGTGAAGCAGAAGTGAGCTGACCGAAAGTGCGGCGTGGAACTCGGGTGCAGCGAGATTTCTCGGCTGACGAACTTGCGGTTCGCAGATGACGTCTTCCTCGTGGGGCACAGCTGGCAACAGATCGTACGAATGCTGTCGGACATCAGAAGATCAGCTGCTGCAGTGGGGCTTCTCCGAGAAGATAAAAATCATCACGAATGCCACCAAAGGAACTGGACGGGGAAAAAGAACGCACGCTAAAGTTGACGACATGCAGATCGAGATCGCGCCGCTCAAAGACCCGATCAAGTATTTAGGCAGACACGTGGCATTCGACAACCCAGTGGAGACAGAAATCGACCACCGGATACGACAAGGTCGGAAGGCTTTCATGGTGCACAAGCCGGAGCTGATTAGCAAGAATGTTTCGCTGAAATGTCGTCTTCGTCTCTTTGACAGCGTGGTCACGCCTACTGTCTTATATGGCTGTTCGAGCTGGACGTTCTCTGTCGCAATGAAGCAAAAGCTCCAGACGACGCAACGCAGAATGCTTCGCATGATATTGGGTGTTGAGCGGCGGCACACAAGGCGTGTATGTGAAGTCGACGTTGACGAACATGACCATTCCGGCTCAGCATCTACATATTCATCTTCATCTTCGTCGTCTCGGGTTTCGTCTTCATCTTCCTCACGACCAAATATTGGAAGCGAGCAGTCTTCAAGTATTTCGAATACTATCGAGCCTTGGGTAGATTGGATCAAGCGGGCGACAGCACAAGTTGAACATCACATGGCCGAGCTTAACGTGGACAGTTGGGGCACTGCGTGGAGGCGCAAGAGCAAGGCTGACTGACATGCCAAAGGACCGGTGGGCAGTGAAGGCCACTACCTGGAACGCGGAGGATTGCCGGAGAGCAAGGGGACGCCGACCACACGGGCCCAAAAAACGATGGAACCACGAGATATTGCAGTTTCTTTTGGATGCTGGATATGATGTAGATGGGACAAATTGGCTACACGTTGCTACAAATCACAAGTGGTGGAGAGACAGGGAAAAGGATGTTTGCTGCTATCGGTAAGTTTACTACGAGCGCTCCAACTTCTGAGGGCTGCGGCCCATTTCCGCCCATCCCCCGAGGGACGCGCTCCGGCGCGAAGGTGGCGGTTCGTTCGTTCGTTCGCTCCTCCTCTTCCTCCTCCTCCTTCTCCTCCTCCTCCTCCTCCTCCTCCAACTTCAACTCCAACTCCAATTGCTCCTCCTGCTCACCCTCACCTCTTCGCTCCTCGCTCCTCGCTCCTCGCTCCTCGCTCCGCTCCTCGCTCCTCCTCCTCCTCCTCCTCCTCCTCCTCCTCCTCCTCCTCCTCCTCCTCCTCCTCCTCCTCCTCCTCCTCCCCCCCCCTCGCGGACCCAAGCGTCCAAAGTCCGAGGAGCCCCCCGGGAGAATCGGTCGGCGCTCGTGCGCACCGTGCCGCGCCCGCGCACGCCGTGCCGCTCTCCCACCTCCTGCTCGCCTCGCGGCTCCGGCGCCGCCGCTTCCTCCTCCTCCTCCTCCTCCTCCTCCATCTGCCTCCACCTCCCTCCTCCGTCCTTTGGCAAGCTGCAGCTTTCTCTTGCAGGCTCTCTCGGGGCTGGCCCACGGGTCTCGGTCGGCGCTATTGGAAATCGCTTTGGCCACAACGTTGAATACCCAGGAGCCCGCACCGCGTCGCGATGCTGCTCATGCTGCTGATCTTCCTGAGCAGGCAGGGCATTCCGTTCAACAGGGTTTTGGCGTGATGGTGCTGATCTTGCTCGTGGGAATGTCCCTGATGCTCCAACCTCGTGATGAGCACCAGCCTTCCTGGCACGAGCAAGGGCCAGGACAATTGCGCGGGCAGCAGATGTACTCGATGGCCCTGCTGATTGCTATCGCCGTCGTTCCTTCGGTGTTTTTCCCTTGTGCCACTCGAATGACATTAATCAAGGCAGCGACAGTGACAAAGGGCAAGGACATGGACGCGCCCGCGAAAGACTTCTCGGCAACATTACACCTCTGCTGAATGCTGCTGTTCAGCATAAAGCTGCTTGCCAGGCGACCACCTGCAGTGGCAAGGGCAACGGCACATGCAAGGACTCCAGCGAGATCCAGCGAGCCCCTGTGCCTGAAGATCCTCAGGCTACGCGACCGGCGCGCCATGGAGCCGATGCCGCGTGCAGCTCCTCCAGTGGCGCCCGCTGTCTGTCCCCCGCCTGGGCCCCCCGCGTCTCCTGGGCCCCGCCGGTCGGTCGTCGGACCCCTCGGCCGGCCCCCCCTCGTCGGGCTCCTCGGCCGGGGCCTCGGTCTCTCTAGTCGGGCACCACGGTCGTCATTTCGTCGGGCCGTCCCTGCGGTTGTCCTCGGGCCCCTCGGTCGGTGCCTCGTGGTGCGGTGGTCGGTCCCGCTGGCGGCGCACGGATTCCTCCGGCGCCGCGGCGGGCCCTGGACTGGGTTGGCTCACCCTCTGCGTCGTCGTTGTCCTCTTCCGCTCGTCGGGTTGTCGCTCGGCTGCACACAAGAATGACCCTAGGCAAGATTGACCTCTGGTGCTCGCCTTGCCGGTCGTCGCATGCGGCGTGACAATGACGGCTGGTGCGCTTGGGTTTGGCCCTCCCGCGCCCAGGAGGTTGGAAGTTGGATGGGTGGAGGAGCAAGCAGGACTTTGGGAAGGTAGAGGTTCTCTCCTGCTCCCTGTTGGTCATTTTTGGGGTGTGTTCTGTCGCCGGCACCGGGGTTGGTCTTCGGCCTTTTTCCATCAGGGTGCTGTGACAAACAAAACACCCCGATGTGCCCCCCCATTCCGTGGTGCGTCTTCACGGCAAAACCCGCACGCCCAGCCCTGGTGGCCACGTACCTAAAAGTCAGCCGCGTGCCAGGGCTGCAGTTGAAGGAGGAGGAGGAGGAGGAGTAAAAGGAGGAGGAGGAGGCATGATTATGATAATGAGGGTGATGATGAGGATGATGATGAGGATGGTGGTGATATGGATGATTTTTCCATTGAACACAGAGCCCCATCATGTGTTATCACGCCTCAGCCAGCACAGCGCCTACACGCGGCAACGCTAAGCAGGCCTGATGCCCGCAGTTCCCCATGAAACGCGCCGCCGAGGACGTGTGCAACAGGAACGAGGAGCAAAGCGGAGGAGGGCGCGGGCTGGGAAAAAAGAGACCACCGCGTTGCGGGCAGGAGCCTCATGGCCCAACCGACCATTGATATGACCCACACAACGGCAGCCGAGAGGGGGAGGAGGAGGAAGAGCGAAGAGAGGAGAGGAAGCACAGAGCAGAGATAAGAGGCATACCAAAAGGGTATTATGTAGCCGTGCACTCGCGCGTGCGCAGACCAGTCTCTTTGGACGGCACCCGCACAATTGGCCTTCGCGAGCAGATGCGTACACCAACAAGGAAGCCAGCGGGAGAGCGAGAAGACGCGGAAGACAACGAGGGAAGAGCGGAGGGAGCGGAATGGACGCCAAATCACAGCACGAGGCTCTAATGGCAGGCCAGACACGAAAACCTGAGCAAAGACGTGGACGGTGCAGAATGAAAAGGTAGATTAGAAGTGACGCCTGTATCGTACAAATGAAAGGCCGACGGCCGAGGCCACGCGAAACGGCTACCCCTCCAGGTAGGCGATCGCACGGGCAGCTGTCGCCCGGGCACGCTTGCCGGCGCGCAGCCTGGCCCTAGTGCGCACGAGAGGGCACGAGGGGTAGGAAAAGTGCGGGGCAGCGCCAAGCCAAACCAATCAAAAACGGGAGCAATGGACCCATGGAGGATCCAGAATGGAGCGGGGAGCAGGGAGCGGAGCAAGGAACTCATGCAAAGAGCGCGATCCACCAGACATGCAAGCTAGAGACGAGACAGGAAGAAATAGAGACGCCGAGAAGGGACGACAGGAAAAAAGAGGCCCTCAGAACTCGTCGAACATGGCGTCTGTTGGACGCTCATTGTCGTCATACCATTGGTACTAGACCCACTCTTCGAACTCGTTTTGTC